ACCATTTTCTGATTCTCGAGACTTTGATGTGGTTGTTTGATGTGTTATTGATTAATTTTCAATCCTTGTTTATAAAATCAATATTTAGCAAACACGCAAAATTTTCGTAGGTTACGTTCAATTGTCACTTTACAATAGTTATCTCGCACTTATGCCTAAGTAAAGATGGCTTCATAAAATTCCTTTAGATATCCTACGAACAGTGGCGAATTCAGGAGTTTGAGTCAACACAGACGGTCGTTGATCATCTACCATTGGCCACAATAAAATATTAAAAGTCATTTTGGTATCCTTTTTTTTTTGCAAAAAAATGCATTTTGGAATGGTGATTTGATGAGGAATGTCTGAATGTGTGACTAAAAATAAAGAAAAATTTTGAATTTATGTGTAATATTATTTTATTGAAGAATGTATGGATGAAAAGAAGAAAGAAAAATGTGGTTTTAAAAAAAATAAAATTGAACAAGGCCTAAAGTATAAATATAACAATTATTTTGTTCAAATTAATATTTATAATTCTGTTATAATAATAAATAGAACTCGTCAAATAACGTTGTTGCCAACTTTTGTATAATTCAAAAGAGGAGTGTGAATTCGAATATTTAAAATTGTTTGAATTAAAACAATCAAAACCTAACAAATATCATTTTGTTAAATTTAATAGCACAATTCAAGATGTATCATAATGGTTAAATTTACCACAACCCTTGCTTGAGATCATGAGTTCAAATCCTCATTGTCCCTCCTTTATTGAATTTTGGTAAAAATTACAGAATAAAAATAATACATAACAAATCCATGGACAAAGACCTAAGACTTGAGGTATATTAAGGCTATTTCTCACCAAGTAAGCTACAAGAATGTTTGAAAATAAAATCAATTACCAACAATATAAGGTAAAAATTTAATCTATTACCTAACCAAAAAATTATATCTGACGGATCCAGCTAGGGCGGCCGCCCTCTGGATCCGCCATTGCCTACGAATGTAAAGCTCCATACAAGTCCAAGTGTTTTATGTTGTTGATAATATTTGTTTTTTACACTCACTTTGTTAGTTTGTTATAACTTCTCGAGATTTACAACTATCAAATTATGAAACATATCAGAGTATGTTGTAGTTATGGTGGATTAACAAGAACCGATGCGATGGACGTCATCTAAGAATCGTTATGAATCCAAAACTTTTATGTGTACATCTCGTCTGTAAATACGACAAGCCATATCTCGTGTTAGAATTGATCTACTACTCCCAGTGAGTAGTATAAAAACTTCCTACTATTAAAGGTATTGAGAACCTTAGTTATGGTTTTATGACCGCATCCGATATGTATAGTTTGTTATATGTATTTCTGATAGCAGTCCTATATATGGTTGATAAGTTGATTCCAATGGTCATAACATTGGAACAGTAACCTAAGACCTAAAATTTGCAATTTATGCTATGATCCAAATAAAAAGATAATTGATAGATACAAGTACAGAGCAACAACACGTTCTTCTGCACACGAAATTTGATTCTTGCTCTTTCTAGGGACCAAAAATCCTCAGCTAGTGGATGTGGATCAACATCTTGTCACTCTTCTCAACAGTTATACTCCTATTTCAATGATCAAGACATTGCATAAATCAATTCAAAAGGTCCCTCAACTGTAATTTACCAATGAGTGAGCTTAATTATAAGTAGTTTCTATTAATTAATTATCTCTATGTTTACTTACTTCCTTTATATATATATAGCATATAATTCTTTGCATTATCAAGTTTCATTTTATAGAGAAATTGTGAGTGATTTACTTATTTATAACCTTTTGTTGCTCTTCTTAATAGGAATTATAACTTAATTCGTAACATAAAAACACGTTAGTTGCAAGACCATCAATCAAGAATTCTCCATTAACTATAACACCTAAATTGATGCAAGAAATTAGTTACCTGATGGCTTATGAAATGGGAGATATATCAAGGGTAAAATTTTAGGTCGCTTAAATAATATTCAATATATAAAAGTTCAAACTATTCTTCTATAAAAAAATGATGTTTTAAGATGGAAATTTGAGTTTTCTTCTTTTGAGAAAAAAATGCTGTTTAATATGGAATTTTTAGATTCAAGTGATACGATAACTCAAAACACTCAAAGTTAGAAGTTGATATCTTTTCAAAAATTGATGTTTTAAGATGGAATTTTGAGATCTCTTCTTTTAAAAAAATGATGTTTATTATGGAATTTTTAGATTCAACGTGATATGATACCTGAAAAAACTCAAAGCTAGAAGTTGCTATGTTTTCAAACGATGTTTGATTTAGTTAAAAAAGATAATTAAAATTATTGTTAATTAATTTTAACAACACATTGAATGTGATCCAAAACTTTTCAATCATACATTCCATCGACTTTTTATCAAAACATATTAAACATTTATTTGTCTAAACAAAACATGGGTTAATATTATAACAAAAATGAATGTATAAGGAATATTTGAGCCATTCTTAAAAAATGACAAATTTTGAAATCATTTTTGGCACAAGAATTTAAAAGTATGATTTTAATGTGTTAAGAGTTAAAAATCAATGGCTAGCTTAGCCATAATAACTTTCCACGTAAGACATACATTTAGGAAAGTATATAAATAATAAAATAAATGTTTGTTGCTTCTTCTTTCTCCTTTCACTTTGGATCTGTCATTTCGAGAGTCAATTGAATGATTGATTTTATATGTCTTTCAAAACATATATTTTTACATATTTTCTCTTATGTCTCTGTGTAGAAGAAGAATATCACCATACCATACCCGTGTCAAAAAGTTACTGTGCAATAGAAATATGAAGTTTGATTACTATTTCTGCTCAACTTGGCCATTGAATAGTCTCTTGTGCGTGGACTTACGGTGCCTTTTTCCTCAAATGCACGAACTACAAAAGAAAATATCAGATTTACTTTACGTTACTGCCTTTCCATGGGATGACACTATTTGTTCCTTAATTATGTTCATACCCTCAGATTTTCATCGAATATTTATAGAAGGACCTGGCCTAGAATGTCCTCTCATTTATTGTTTGCAAGTTGAAATGATAGTACTGTAAAGAGCGAAAAACCTACGTCGTTTACATGTAAAATAGTATTAACTTTTGAGGTTTGAGCTATTCTCCTCGATTAAGTTGATATTTTAAAATGAAACCCTAAAATTACATTGAGCCCAAAATTTTAAACAAGTAATTTGATTGAGTTACAAGTAGAGTTAATTAATTTGAAGATTGATCTTCTTAAAGTGCATGCCAGCATCTTGAAAAATCATATTATAAAATTCTAACATCTCTTAAATATGAAGAAATGATATATAAAATTCTAGCATGACTCAATAGTATTATTCACAAAATATTAACTTTTTTCTTTAGTGTTTCGTGCTATCTTTTTTTATCAAACAAGACATTAAGTCGGCAATAAAATTTTGGCACTCAATTTATGCTTTTGCTGTCGCCCTCGCAGCACGCACAACACACACTATTTTGGAACAAAATTACCATAATGTAAACATCAGCATGCATGATAAAAAAGCATTGAGCTTTGTAAAGTTGATGTAAAGAAATTAACACACCCACTCCCAATTAACTAAAATAATTCAGAAGAATATCCTTAAAGTTGCCAACTACAGCAGACCTTAATTTCTTTATATGACAATAATAATGTCAAAAGGCAGGATTGGGATCGTTAGGTTCCATAACCCTGTCATTTCTGAGTTATTATTATATTATAATATATGCTTTTATACAAAATAATATTCATTAATTGAAGAGGCACCACTGAGAGACATATTTGAGGAGGCTTGGATCTTGAAATGATCACTTTTTGCTTCAAGATTTGCTCAAGATTCCTTTTTGTAGGTCAAACAACATGGAATATAACCCTAGTTATTATTTTTAATCACGTACAGTTAGGCAGTTTTAATCACTTCCTTATTAAACAAGACTTTTCACTAAAACATTAGACTATACTAAGGGCCTGTTTGGACCGATTTTTTCATCCAAAAAATTAATTTTTTTATCGTTATTTTACTACTCCAGCCGTCATATTCGACTTTTTCTCTCACAGATGGATCCCACTTTTTTTCTAACGGTCAAAAAATCAATTTTTGAAATCACTTCAAAAGAGGCTCTAATTATCTAATTGGATTTTGGAATCTTTCTTCAGATCAAAAGGCAGGTTTAAGATTTTAAACATCCTGCATCAGATTATTACATTCTTGATTGGATTTTTTTTACTGATCAATTATATCAATTCTCGTATTTGACTTTATATGATTAATTTATTATTATTATTATTATTATTATTATTATTATTATTATTATTATTATTATTATTATTTTGGTAATAGAAAGGCGATCAATAAAGATATGAAAAGATTTGTAGAATTTACATGATTTAACCTCTTGTACAACCATTTGATTCTTCTTTTCGAAAAATATTAGTAGTAACCCAAGAAAAGATCAAAACAGAAGAAGGGAGATTCGGACGCACCCATTAAATGCAGGGAGAACCGTGGAATCAAAAGTAGCAATTTCAGAAAGATACGAGTTTATATAGTTTGATGAGAAATATTATGGGTATCGAGAAATTTCACAGGCTAATTTACAGGTGGTAAAGTGGCAGAATTTATTTGGTTGTTGGACAAAAAATAAAGTTTAATCAACTAATGAAATTCTATAACATCACCACCTGTACACCAACTTGTAAAATTTTCTATACAAGTAACATTTTTGTAGTTTGATTGACTAATTAGTATGTGCAATTGTAGGCTCTCATTATCAATAAAACTCTAAGTACAGAAAAATTTCAATAGAACAGATATTGACGCTAACGTGGCCAAACTTGATTAGCCTGTTTTTTTTTTTTTTTTTTTTTTTTTTTATTTTCAACTCGTAGTTAAAGAAAAGTGAAGCATTATTAGCACTAAAGAAGAAAGATTAACAAACCCACCAATACAAAATGACAAACAACCTTCAAGAAGATAATGGTAATTAATTATATTTAATGGACTTAATGAGCCAAATAGCAATTGTTGCCTCCTGAAAGGCTGATAGAGGATCTAGTAATGGAATCTCAGAAATATTTAACGAGATTATACGAAGAAAATTGTAATAATATAAAGACCCCAGTAGCAGTATAAAAATAAAACATCCACTTTAATTTCAGTACCCCAAGAAAACCAGAGAAACCAGGAGGAGGTGTTTGTGAGGTTTTGTTCAAGTGGGTTTCTGTTTTCTTCCAAATATCTGCAACTTTTGCAGATTCATAGATATTTTAAGGGGTTATGGAAATTAGGGTTAGGGTTTCTGATAGGGGAAGGTTTAGTTTAGGTATCATTTGGCTAAAATCTGTATCATTTTTAGTGCCAGGAAGAGACTGAGAAAAGGGGTTGATTCTGCCATCCTAAGAAGCAAGAATCATTGAGAATATGAAGCTGATATCCCTCAGAAGGGTAATGAATTCTTAAGAGAAGCTTAGCTTGAGAAAGAGCGAAAGGGCTCAATGGAACATTGTTGAAATCTGAGCTTCTCAGCATAACTTTCCATGATCTGAATCTTTCGTGCCTTTCTTTTCTTCTTTCTCCATCTGCCGCCACAATATCAGCAATTTCCCTTCCGAACCATATCTGCTCCACCGTGAGCCGCTCGTGGCTAGTAGGTGGCAGGGTGGCTTCAAGGGAATCAAAAACCGCCGCGTAGTGATCTAAAGCCTCCACAAATCTCTGCAAGAAAATTGGGTGGTTATGATTTGCTTCCCTTTCAGCCACAGTGAAAACTTTGGGGTTCATGGACTTGATTCGATGTAAGAAAAGGCGAAGGCGATCCCGATCCTTGAACAGTCGGTGAAGATAGTGCACACAGTTGACTGCTAGGGTTTCATCAGGCAGCAGAAGAATAGCAGAGGCAACTGAAATGGAGTCTTCATTGTTGAGGATAATAAGAGGTTGGAACTGAAATCTGAGGCCTAATGAATGGGCAAACTTGGCGAGCCTGTCACCGGTTCTCCGAAGTACTTCAAGGTCACTTCCGGTGCCGGTGATCCGAAGGGTCGGCGGTGGAAAACGCTCCGCCATAGCCTGCATTAAGGGAGGCCATTGCACGCCGTGCATGATGTCAAAGTCTAGGATGTGTATCGCTTGTTGGCCTTCAGTTGCTTCCAAGATTGCTTGATTTGCAGTGAGATGACTAAACCTAATAAATGGGGTTACTTGGTTAACTAACAAGTATGAGGATTGAACAAGGGTTTCGTCTGATCCAAACTCAGCCGTGTTAAGATTTGAAGAACTTGTAGCTTCACTACTAACAAGATTAGTGGCACTGGGATTAGGGATCAAGAATGAATCAGCGGCGGCTACATAGCGGTTTAGCCGGAGAGAAAGGGCTTTAGTGAACTGGTGGACTAATCTCTCAGTAGAATCACCATAAGGTGAAGAGTTAGTAGATAAAATGGAGAGAAGCCGATGAGCGGCTGAGAGATCAGAACGGGAAATTAGCTCAGCACAACTTATGAGTAATTGGCGCATGTGTATTGCCGGAGGTGTAAAACTCCGGCGCTGAATATGGTGGTTGTCGTGGTAGTGGACATTAGGCGGTAATGGTTCTTCCTCATGAGATGAAGAGCCAAATGAACCCAACATTTCTTTAAGCCAAGAAAACCCTACTATACTACCGAGTATAAAGCATTCAAGAAGAGAAAAACGAAAAAGCTGACGAGGTGGAAGAGTAGGAGAAGCAACTTGTAGATTGGAAGTTGAAACTTCAAATTTTTGTGACAATATTTTGCATTTTTTTGGTAATTTATGATGATGTAATGGATTGATAAAAGTAAAATTAACTTTGAGATATATTTCTGCAAAAGGATAAGGAGAAGAAGTGAGCTGAAGCAGTGCAACAGTAGAGGGTTGCAGAAAAGGCAAGGGGCGGGGAATATATAAGAGCTCAGCAGATGAAAAGCAAGCACACTGTGTGAAACTAAGCTGTCAAGGGTTTGAATTTTTTTCTCATTTATTTTGAAGAAAAATTAATTAGCATAAATTAAAATTAATCTTGGGTTTGGGGCACGTACATATGTAATTATAATTAGATATTCTAAGAAAACTGGTGTAGCCGACATATGGTACAGTCTGCTTCAAGAAATTAAAAATGGAATATTTGCCACATTCTTTTACGATTAGAATGCAATAGAAAGCACTAAACAATCTTATTTTTCTGTCATATGTGCTCTTTTTTTCCCCTTGAGAATAAATTCATTTTAATTGGCTCCTAATTTGCATAGTATTTTATGAAATTAAGCATAGCTATAAATATCTTTTTTTCTATATAGTTTACCTTGCTTTCCATCAGATCCAAAAAAAGTAATAATCCCTTGTTAATTAATTTCAGATAATTGAAGATTTAAGGAGTGTCCTCAACCGAAATTTTAATTAATTTTCAAATATTTTTGTGAATTTGAATAGATTTTAACAGATTCTTATAAAATCTCATTAAAAATGGTGAAGTTTCAAAAGAGTTTATTATTCGTATTATTAAACTTAAAATTCCATCCAAATCTCTTTAAATTCTTCAATAAATCCAGAAAATTATGTCCATTAAAATCGTAGTTGGAGACACATGAATGTACAAGGACTTTTAAACTTCATTAAAATCTCCGTTAAAGACATACATATAAATTTTTAGATAAGATGATTAGTAAATTTTATGTATAAGATTTAGGTTTAAACTTGTCTCCTAGCAAGAAAAGCAAGAAATTAGAGTATAGAATATTTGAGATTGAAATAACGGCCATAGTATACATAAACCACTATTATAGAGCAAGTTTATTGAAAAAAAATGTAATGTGGGACAATATCAATAGAAAATCCAAAATCAATTAGGAAGGAAAAGAAATAAGATAAACATTATTTTCTACTAGGAAACTTATGTTTAGCTTTATGTTTTCTAGTTGTCTTTATTTTTTCTAGGTATAATAGTGATAGGACTTTTATCTTTTATTTGATTAGGACTATAATTTCTTTAATGATTAGATAAGAGTTCTAACAAGATTAGATTTTATTAGTTTCCTCATTTCAATTTCATGGTATTAGTAGAAATAGGTAATAATCTTGTCTATAAATTTAGATGCTTTGTACACTTTTTAGAATTCAATTTCATTATTCGATTATTGATTAATAAAATATTTTAATTTTCGCATTTATTGGTATATTCTAATATTTATTTGGTGGATTCCAAATAATTATTACGTTCGTTCGATCAAAATTCGAGCAAACACCATTCGTATATTACAGACTATCCACTTTTATTTTTATCCACGCTTCCATGCCAAGTGGTATCATAGCAGGCTTTTTCCATCACTATATCTTTGATTCATAAATATGGGTGACATCCCAGTTACTAGAGTAGAGATGGATCAACGGCTTGGCGATCTTACTACTTGGATCGAAGAACTTCATCAACTGTTTCTGCCCGTGGGCCCCCCTATTGTGAGGGGATTGGTACAATCCCGGTGTACAACTTGCATGGTCCTTTGGACATTGTTAGGAAGCCATTAACATCGCGATGAAAATGGAGATGATGAAATCTTATAAGAAGGAGATTTTATATAGGAGGTCCCCATCCGCCAAAACATCATCACTCGTTCCTTCAGATAAAGGAAATGCCCCACAACAAACCCTAGCCAATTCTAATAGGAGCAATGTTGACAATAGTGGTTAGTTTGGGGATAGATGTCAGACTCGAGGCGCACATCAGAATGCAATTACTGTCCTGAAAGGGAGCAGGTCAATTTGGTGGAACCGAAGGCCATAGACGAGGAGGAAGATACCGAGGTGAAAGATGAGTATGTAGGAGTAGAGTTTGTTGTTGAGAAATGTGTAAAAAGGCTCACTTTGGTCTTGTTGAATCCTTTATCGCGTAATGAGAAGGGGTAGCATCATTGCATCTTTCGTTCATTTTGTTCTATCAAGAATAAAGTGTGTAAAGTGATTGTGGACAACAAAAATTGTCAAAACTTTGTGTCAAACAGGTTGGTAAATTTGTTGTACTAACTGAGAACCATCCTAAACCTTATTCACTTGGTTATGTTAAAAGAGGTCATTCTGTTCAAGTTGTTGAGACTTGCAAAGTACCTGTTTCCATTGTTAAGCATTGTAAGGATGAGATTATATGTGGTGTTATACATATAAATGTATGCTATATCCTATTGGGCCGTCCATGATAGTTTGATGTGGATGCCATACATTAGCGTAGAGAGAATATTTATAAGTTTAAGCGGAAGGATAAAAAGATTACGATTGTACCAACAAGGCACATAAAGCTTCTAAAGTGGAATGGAAATATTTTTCAACCATTGCAAATTCAAACAACGAGTTTTCTTTCGATAAGTCTTTGTATCCTGATCGCAACCCAGGGTCGAATTGTTTTGAAGTGGAAGTGAATAATGAAGGACAATATCAAGAGGAAATCCAAAATCAATTAGGAAAAAAAAGAAATAAGATAAATATTATTTCCTACTAGGAAACTTGTGTTTAACTCTATGTTTTTTAATTGACTATACTTTCTTTATTGATTAGATAAAGAGTTTTAATTAGATTAGATTCTATTAGTTTCTTTATTTCAATTTCCTAGTATTAGTAGAAATAGGAATAATCTTGCCTATAAATATAGATGCTTTGTACACTCTTAAGAATTCAATTTCATTATTCGATTCTTGATTAATTAAATATTTTAGTTTTCTCGTTTATTGGTGGATTCTACATAATTATCACGTCCGTTTGAGTGAAATTTGAGCAAATAGCCATTCTTGTCTTACTTACTAGACACTTTTATTTTATCTAGGCTTCCTTCCTGCGTCAAAATGGCATTCTTTGGTTGAGCTTTAATGTGAATTTTATTTTAAAGTTACTTATTTTGAGTAAGTTTAAAAAGGCATGGTTTAGAAAGAAAACTGATATAAATAAGATTTTATTTTATTCTAGCAAGTAGCAAGTACAACATCAAACAAGCTAATTGTCATATAATATACACACAATTGGGCACAAACAACATTGTATATAATGAGGTGCTTAGAGTGTTATAGTGATGAAGAATGATGTAATTTCTTCTTCATCTTCTTCCTCTTTTATTTATTTATTATTATTATTTATTTTTTTATTTTTAAATGTTTGTTTGTTTGTTTTTTTCCCCGAAATAATGAAGTAATTTCGTGAAAGTATATTTATGCATGCTTACAAGTAAATCTAATTTAATTTAAGATATCTATGTCACAAATTTACTTAATCTTTTTCTGAACAAGAGTTATTTTTTTTAAATAAAATTTTCAAGGAAAAACATGCTCACTGTCCAGTATGACTCCTACCAAAGTCTGTTTGGTTTATATAAAAATCAAAATTTAAGTAAATTTTTTATATAAATTGACGATATGTGTAGTTGAAAAGTTGTGTGTCTAATGATGAAATGTGTTGTTAAATTAATTATTGACTTTGATTTATATTTTAATTTAAAATTTTTAAGAACCAAACAATGACTAAGTATGCATGCATACACGTCATGTATGTACGAGCAAAATCTTTAATGAAATTTCGTTTATACTGTAACTGAAGTAGTATTTTCATATTTATGATTTTCCAGAAAAATCCTTGTTCTTTATCCATGTAGGTCTACCCGATTTCATTACTTATAAGACAGGATCGAGAGCCCAAAATCCCACATGGAATCAAGGTCGTAACAACATATTATGGGCACCAAGTAATAATTACACTTTTGTCATTTACAAAAAGTGACTACTCTATACCTTGTTTATATTTAGTCCTTGTTTGAGCTCTATTTTGTAGAAAAAATAAATTTTTAAATTGTGATTTTTCGAAGACTGCGTGATTAAAAAGTAAGAAATTTTTTTTGATTTACATATAAAATTATTTTATTGAAAAATATGAGATTGAGAATGAGATTTGAAAAAAATGGATTTTTGAAAAAATAGAGCTCAAACAAAGACTTAATATCCCCTGGTTTTCTAGAACCCTTTGATAGCTTGACATATTATATCTTAGCAATAAAAAGATCACACTTTTATTTTATTATTTATTATATTTTTTTTATCACCTAACAAGTTGCACATTAACTATTTCCTTTTTAAGAAAAATAATGTGGCAAATTAATTAGGAGAAAAATAAGTCCACTTTATTTATACCACCTATTATAGTGCCATGTCACTCGGTACTTAGAAGATCAATTCTGTGTGTCATAAAGCCTCTTACATATTGTTCAATTATTCTTTTGATTTGCATTTTTGGTCTCTCTAATTACCTTTCCTCGCGCTCAAGTTTAATCTTTTAGAAAATGCATAGACATTTGGATTATTGGTTTCATCAATTTCTAACATTCACTTGTAAATAATTGACGACGAAATGTAAATAGAAGGCCTATATAACGATTTTAATTGTTAAAAAATGATAAAATTTACTTATTTTTTTATATATTTTTTTATTATATATACACATAATTCTTCATTAACCGACATGAGATGGGGGTGGGATTGAGGGGTTATCGACACACACGAGAGCTACAAGTAAGGACACGCAAAGCCTTAAATGTGTCGAAAGTTAGATGCAACTATGTAAATGTAATGTACATATGCCTCCGACCTTCTCTTAACGTTGTCAAAGAAACCACTTTTTCCTTATTTGTCCACTTGATGGATGTATTGGAAATTTATTGCCCTAGCCACGTGGGCTCAGCCTCAGTTACCTACTTTTCTGCCAAACAGACCTTTA